ATTGTGCTGATTGCATTGCTACATTTCCAATGCTAATGGAAATAGAGACGTTTCCCTATTTTTTTTCTCCATGTAAATACTGCCTTTTAGTTCTTCTATTTTTTTCCAAAGAATTCCACTAATGCTGACTTAATGGGTCACCATTATAAGTGCCTCAAGTTTGGCTCATAACGACTCGGTAGATACTGAAAAGCATTCTTACTTTTGCAAGTTCTGAACATCTTTAGGTTTCTCGCTGGCGTTGTTTCTTCTGATGCTGAAGATTCTCCAGAGACAAAGATTAAGATAGTATTTGAAAAAGATGAGCTGACATCTGTGTCTAAGGACTAATTTCAGTGGGATTTAGTCTTCTAAATAGCGTTTGTGACTCTAGGTCCAAAAGGGCTTGCAGATAGGTCAGAACAGCAAGGAATTTTCCAGGGTTTTAAAACGAAAGATACTACTGCAGCACATACCTGGAGATCAAACTCTTATTTCAATTGTATAACGCAATTTTAGCTATGTTTCTTTTTAAAGCAGGAAAAGAAAGGGTGGATAAAGTGATATCCAACGTGTTTCTGGTTTGATATCTACTACTAATTTGTCCCTTTACTGATTTGTCCCTTTACTGCAGTTACAGACACTATAAAGTATTTAATCTGCAACCTCTTCAGAGATTTCCACTGTTATTGGTTTTTTCTTAGACTGAGATAATTTCCTAAGCATTCTTGTGGGGCCCAGGTGTTGTGACCTGACCACTGCTAAGAAGTGCTGTTTTCTAGAATGGTTCCCTTAAAGTCATGATGTGACAACCCATTTTCTGTGCGAGTCAGGCTATCACAAGGTAGTGTGGGGTGTATCCCCCATGTCTCTAAGGCTTGTGAACTCTGCAGCAGACAGTGAGCTTTCTCAGGGGCTTAGTTTCCTCTGAGAAATCCTTCATTTCTGGCTGCCGCATGTGTGCACAGCTGCCTAACGGCTCTGACAATTCTCTGCTGCTCTGTGCCTGTCTCATGCTTGAGCTGTGTAGGAATTTGCAAAGGCAGATGAATATTTAACGTACCTGGAGGCTTTGATTTTTCAGTGGTAGTCTGGCTACATCTCATACCTCTAAAATGCAAACAGAGGAGGTAAGGCTGCCTTTTTATTCCGTAATACAGAGATCGGAGCACCCTCCTAATTTCACTTTCTTTTTCTGTCTCAGGTCATTTCATCCATATCTCCTGCTTCTCTGTAGACAATCCTTATCACCACGCTACTGAGGGGTATATCTCATCGCTTGTGCTGAAACTGCCTAGATTTACAGGCTTTCAGTTGAATATCTTAGTCACTTAGCTTGCAAGCCTTTTGGTCTGCCCTTCTTCTGGACTAGGCGCTCTCCCAGGCTATGGGGCTGTGGCTGCAGGCTAAGGCAGGACTCATGTCCTCCGCTTTCCTGGCCAACAGAGTGTGGGCATGACTCCTGTCCAGGATAGCCTGATTCCCTGTCCCGCAAAGATGTCTGACTATTGCTGAGAGTTAAAAGCCTATGTTCAGGTGTCTGAATGAGACTTTTGGGCAGAAATCTCTGTCATGTCCTCTTGGCCGGCTGTGGCAGTGACAGCTCCCTGATTTCCCATGCATGGAGCGTTGGTCCCTAACTGGGCATTGCAAAGCCTGTTCTTGACACGGACCCCCTCACTTTAAAGTGTACCAGCACTGAATATTCAAACAGCAAAGTCTTCATTGCATCTGGCCCTACAAGACTTTGAAAGGAAGACACGGAGAAACTCACTTCTTCTCAACATCTCCTCTTGAATAGTCTTCTTTGCTCCCTCTTTCACTTCCTGACTGTTGTGAATCATGTTCTTTGAGTCCTAACCCTTTTCGTACAAAAAAGGGCCAAGACTGTCTACTGTGGATACTGTGGCTCCCTTAGGCCACAAAGTACTTCCAGATGTAGCGCCCTGTACCCTGTAGTTATGCATCTCCTTTTGGGGAACTGTGTCCAAATCCAAACTTAATGTATCTGAAGTAATTTGTCTGGTTTATGCATTAAGGTATTTGGGAGAAAAACACTATCAAGGAGATCTGATACTTCTCAATTATATCAAGATTACGATCAAGTGGTTTATAAACCTTAGAAAATAGGCTTAAGGTGGCTGGTTGCCTGACCTGGTTTCTGGCATTAGGGCTGGCCGTGTGCATAGACAAAGGAGACAGCAGCCTGAAACAGGAGAGAATAGCAAAAGAGCAAAAGTTTTCCTGCCGATTTTTGTCTTTCAGAGCCCTAGAGAGCTGGGCTGGTTTCTGCTCCCGCTGAGGTACTGGACAAGGGCAGATGTTTCTCCCCATGGCAGAAGAAGCTTTAAGTCAAACATCCAAAACTCTTTTTTTTCCCCTTTCTTCTATTTTTCTTCTCTAGGTCCACCCTTATGATGAGCCCTTTCTTCCAAGCCTGTTCCTCATCCTTGGGGTGGCAAAATTCAGTTTTGCCTACACTCTTGAGAAGCCTTGAGTGATATTGCTGCAATTGTGACAAAACTTAACGTGGCCTAAATATTCAAGCAGCCCAGGCTGAAGTCCGTACTTTTGTGGGAATGTGCTCTCGTAGCAATACCTGAGCACCTGAGGTAATTTAAAGCTGATTCAGACACATATACATGGGTGGCGGTCGTCTTAGTTATGGCAGCATAAACAAAAATTTGGGAGCTGAGTACTCTTGAAGGGAAAAAATACCTTAAGCATCTGAATGTGAGTGAGTGTTGCTCCTCTAGAACCAGGTTCTAAGCTGTGAAAAGAGAATATTCATCAGTCTGTTGACAAGAATATCGTGAGGATGCAAAATGCATCTCTAGTAAGACTGCCTATATTGTAATCTGCTGGACTAGAAGATAATAGGAAGTGGAGACAGTTCCATATTTTTTGTCTTTTTATTATATGTCGTATTGCATAGCATATCATGTGAAAATGTGCATGTAAGCATACACTGAAATTTAGAGAAAAGATACAGAGGCATTGAAAACAAAATCATTACCTTACAGCTTAGTAGAAACTTCCTTTTTTCATCCACACTCTTTTGGATCTTTTTGAGATTGGTGAATCTCATGTATGAAGTAGTTCAGAGCTGTCCTATTCCAGCAGCGTGGCAAGTTGTGACTGTGAAAGTCCCACATTAGTCACTCTTCCTCCTGGGAGGAATCCTGGGAGGATTACCCAGCACCAGTGATTTTCCTTAGGGCTTTATGCCCACTGTAGCCCCTTAGACTATGTCTGTAGCAAGAAAGCTATCTCTTGACCGAGGATCTCTTCCCAGATCCAAGCCTTCCTTTTTCAGGCATGGTCCTGCTGCTGCACCTTCCTCTGCATTGAAAGGAACATGGGAGAGATTTGGGTCAAAAGAGGTTCACAAAACACTCCGGCTGGAGTCCTAAATCTGAATGATCAGTAAACCAGAACCGTGGGGTGTGTTGTGGAGCGCACCAGCCCTGCAGTATGGAGATAACTCAGGTGGTGTAGGTAAGGCATTGCGAGACAGCACTGTCTGCCCTGTAACTCAGCCCGTGCTCTCTCTGCATGAGAAAGGAGAAGACAACTGCTCCCAGCTGACCCCCTGCCACAGTGTGGTTGTGTTTTCTCCTAGAGGATAATGGAAGCACAAACTGGATGCTAATTCAGAGGAGTAATTTATACTCCAAACTCATCTATTTAGCCTTGCTGCTGAGACTGCTATTAAACATGCCAGAGTTGATAGTGGAATTTAAAATTAGAGCAGGGCTTTGTAATAGTATAGGCAAAACTGAGCCTTGCTGCACCTGGAGGGCAATTTGCCCTCCTCTTGCTCCATCTGTTACATTATAGTACCTGCTGCACCAGCTAATTCTCACCCTGAAGCTCCTTTTTCCCCTGCCCCTACTGAAGGGCACCTATTTCTTAACACGTCCACCCTCCTAGACCCTCAGCACGTGGAGACACACAGACCTGCACACTGGCTCCACGTCTGTGCTGGATCTACTTTGCTCATTTTTGCAAGGACTCGGGGTGATGGGGAATAGTTTAGTCCAACATTTTTGCTCTAGTTGTAAGATGCGCATGACTGTATCGTGGCTATAAAAATGATATATAGATGCTTTCTCCTGAAACTGTGATATGACTTTCAGCTTGTGTGGTGTAGTACAGAGCCTTGTTGAAAGAATGACTGGAAAAACATATCAGAAGTACATAAATAACATTTTTGTCAAAGAGATTTCTACCGAACTCCTTAAGAACAGCTTTTGATGGTTCTTTCACACATATTCCATTTCTACACTGCTGTTTTCTGAGACGTTTCTTCACAACCTGATATCAGGCAAGCCATTTCACTGGTAGGCTTCGAAGAGGGTATATTTCAGAGATGAATCTTTTAAGGATTTATTGAAGACTCTGGCATATCTTCATTGTATGATATAGTGAAATATTATCTCTTCTCCTCCTCCGAAATGAGTTAGATGAGGGCTATTGTATCAAACAATTTACTGGGCACAATTTCAGTGCTCAGGCAGATGGGAAGTGAAATCCCAGGCCTCTAGGTGGGTCTCCTCACCTACTGAATTGCTTCTTTAGAACAGTATCTATTCTCTCTAAGTGGCAACTTAGTAGTTACATCTTTAAATGCGAGCCCATATACTAGATTTTCTCCTTTGACCTTACCAGATGCCTGCTTACCATTGAGAAACGGTGAACATAGAATTGCCTGTTATTAGCTTTACTTAATATTTTTATTAAGAGCAAAGAATTTTAATCAGAATCTCATCCTTAACTAAAATTCTTCTGAGTTTTATCTTACCCAATCTAATGCCAAAAACAAATAAAGTGCTACTACACATTTCATGTATGTTTGTGGAATATACAACCTGCTTGGAGGACCTGCACACGTTCTTTTCATGCTGTGTGGGTTATAGCATGCAAAAATAAATTGTATTCATAATAGGATGCTGTATTTGTTCAGAAACTGTTGAAAGTCTTTGGAATTCTTATAACTGTTTATTCATTCTTTTGTTTAGGAGTCACTGACCTGTAAGTGCTCATTATGAAGAGAGATCTGGTTTTCTTGGTGACTCTAATTAGCCTTGCCTTCCTGTCACTGCTAAGATCTGGATATCCTCAACATATAGCAGAGGAGTCCTGCTCTGTTCAAATTCTTGTTCCAGGCCTCAAAGGTAATGTGGAAGTCTACTCCATCATCCAAATACTTTAACAGTCTAATTTGCACCACTGACAGTTCCTGAGACAAAGGAGATGCCTTTCAGTGGTCCTCTCCTTTGTCCAGTTTGTAGCCTCCTTATAAACAGTTTTAAGGTCATAAGATGAATTTACGTCTGTTAAAAAGACATGCTTTAGAGAATGCATGCCAAAGTTTCCGAAACCTGCTCCTGATGAGCACTGCTTGTTACTCTGATGGGTTACCTGATTGATTTCTCTGTGTTTATACTCCTGAGTAGTACTTATGCACAGAGACTGTAAAATCATCCCCTGCATTGCACCTGGAGAAGTTTTCATTGCCATCCTGAGATGTGCTAGAAAGAACTATTTTATGTTTTCTGGTCTTCTGTGTGCCTTCCTTTTGGCCAAATTTCTGTTGATTTTAAATGCCTTGGTGCCTTTCAGAAGCAATAAGAAAATAAAGGGTTTTTTGGGGGGCATTTCTATAGACTGTATGGGCAAAAGCAATATTTTTACCAAAGATAGCCTCAAAATATTGCCCAGCAAAGATGGCATGATAAAATATTGGTCTTTTCGTAGTATTAACCTAAGTGCCTTAGATAGGAAATCAACATCTGGAAAGAATTAGTATTTTTAAAGCAACAGCATCTATTGCCATTGTGGTGTGAAATCCCAGCCCTATTATTATAGTTAATAACAATAATTCCCCTTATGAAGGCTATGCTATTTCTACCAGAGTGTAATACCTGTGAGCATGGAGAAATACCTGTTAACTATGGAAAAAAAAGTTTAAACTACTGGTTTATCAGTAACCATTAAAAAAATTTCATTGTTTAAAAATGGCACAACTAACCTCACAGGTTTTCTGACAGTAATGCATTTTAGTATCTCAAAATATCAAAATTCACTTGACAGCTCTGCTGCCACTAGCATTACGTAAACCTTGGTTTTAACCCATTGCCTGAGGGCTGCAATATGGACTTCAGGCTATGTCTGTGCTGGTGAATCATTCAAGCTGAGGGCAAGGCTTAGGTGCTGTCACGTAATTGTCTGTACAGTTGAACTGCTTGCACAATCAGGCCATGGTTTTGGCTGCGGTATAAATTGCCCTGCCCAGACATTGCCCTGTTTGGATGTGGCTGCCCTACTCTGGAAATAAGAGAACTGAAGTAGGAGGGTGAGAGTTGTGTTTGGCCAACTGGCTACTGTACCAAAAAATTATGCCATCTGTTTATTATGATTACAGAAGTAGATTCAGCTGCCTAAACTGAAACAAAAAAAATTTTTTTAATTTATTTCAGTAGGTGGCAATCTTAATAATATTTATACCTTCTACACGTTACAATTAGAAAGAACAACACTAGTCTCGTATATCCAGATCTTCTGAGGTTTGATTAAACCTCGAGTAATATTGTTTCATTTATCTGATATATTCGGTGTGGAATACGCATAAGACGATAGTGCTGTTTGTGTGACTCTCATAGAACGACTCTCTCAAGTTTAATACATCTTGTCTAAGGGTACATAGATCGGTCAGATCGTCAGACCACTGTACTGGAGACCAAAGCTTTGAAATGAGAAGTTGCCTTTATCAGGCTGTGACAAATTCTGTAACTTTTTTGCCTTAGTTTTTCTATTTTGTTATCAGCCAAAAGTAACATCTATGATGACCATTTTTATGACATCAAGGACCATTGTTGTTATTATATACAACACAGCTTTAAGAATATATGAGCAGTGTAATAATAATCCTGGCCTTTTATCAGAAGGCAGTCCTGAGCCAGGAAACAACAAAGAAGCTGAAATGTTAATGATTTTCACTCCACTTCATGAGATATAGGCATTGCAAAAGTGACAGAGATTGATGTACAAACTCGGTGAAGCACAAAATGGCCTGATGCAGCCCTAGCTAATGCAAAATCTCTAAAAAGCCGTCAATACTCCAGCTATGCTGTCAGGGGGGCTAGCTCAGAGAGCTGATAATGAGATACTGCTGTCACCTACTGGCACAACTCCAGCCCTTTTCAGCAGCCGAAATTTCCTCTCAACTGAGCATATATGTGGCTTCCTCGGGACCCTGGCACTGCTGCTGGTGCTCGCGGGGAGGGAAAGCCTGCTGGGATGTGGGGGAAGAGAGGGTGCAGGGAGCTACTGGAGGAAAGGAGGCAGACCAGAGGCTGCGTGAAAAAGAGGAAGAGCAGCTTAGGCATAAACGGTGGTGCAGAACCCCAGTGATGTGGTAAAGAAGAAAGGAAATGTACCTCAAAGTAGGAGAGCATAACGGAGGAATTTTAGAAGAACAGGAAGAGATAAGGGAAAAGAGAAAAGAAGGGCACAAAGAATGAGTGGAGAGACTGAAAACCATTAAAAAAAACCCTAGAAAATAACACAAAGACAGTTAGGGCCCCATAGAATAAAAGGATATTGGAAGTGGCGATGCCATGAGAATGGAGGTGGAAGTGGAAGACAAAGAAAGCCAATAAAGACACTGAGAATAGAAAAAAGGCACAAATGAGTTTAAGGTCAGCAGCTTAGGTCTAAGGAACTGATTTATATGTCTGTATATATGTATACACACACACACACACACACACACACACACACACACACGTAAATATATATATGTATATAACCTGAACAGTATAAAGGAGTAAGATGAAACAAGGAAGACTGTGGTCTTGAGAATCCAGACAGCAGAATGATCTGTGCTTGAGAAAGTCAGTAATATTAATAAAGGGAAAAGTGTGTTGTGTGTGGAGAAGGGATGGATGGTGAAGCCTCGCTGTGTCACTCATTCATATTCTTTCTAAAGGTCTGTTCCTTTTGATAGGCTCATCAGAATGAAGTTACTATTATTGTAGAGAAAAAATAACATGGAAAAATCCTTCAGAGCTGAAAGTTCTTGATTCACCAGCTTGTTTCATCTCCTTCTAGAGTCTAAAGCACAGATTATCTGAATATTCTCATTGGCATACAATAAATAAAAAAAGTTGATGTTACATAAATAAAAATAATATTATTTATTTCTCACTCCCACACTTTATGCTTGTACTCATGCAGGGAATATGAGTAATGGAATAAAGTTATCTCCAGCTAAGGGATGTTTAATAGCTCATATATTTAATATTTGGAGTGTTATTTTTATTACAGTAGATGGTACAGGTGTAATCCAGGTCAAGATAGGCAGAGTACAAACAGAAGGCATAATGATAAGGCAAGAAGAAGGCAAGAATGGTAAGATATATTATCTGAATTATGAAAGATCTCTCTCAGACATGACTGAATAAGAAGTTTGTAGTAGTGGCAAGGTTGTACCTGGATATCTGCGCTCCTACTGTAGCTCAGTTACCAAGACTAACTTTCCTTTGGGAGTGTGGGGGTCACCAAATTATTGAGCATCGATCGGTGCATCTTGTTGTGTCTCAGTCAAGTGGTCAAGAGTTGAATGACTCTGAGGAAGCACATTTTCCTTCATGCTTAGAACTGAGCCCATAAGCACAGGTGTGGCAATCTGTGTGCCAGTTTGGGCAAACCTCCTGCTGTTGCTGCCCTTCCTGTACCTTTTCACTGTTTTAGCAGGATGTTTCATCCTGTGCAGGCATTTCTTCCTCAGCTTGCACACCCTTAGAGTACATAGAGCAAAACAGGGACTTAAACAGTGCAAAGCTGAATTAGACCACTGCTCAGCCCCTCATGGCCAAGGGCTTGCTGCTTAAAATAGCTGAAAACAGAAACTGCAAACTAGTCTGTAGTAAGGCCTGCAATGGGGTAGCCTACTCCCAGGGAAAGTTTCTTACAGACCCACACTAAGGAGTGCAGTGTCATCTTATTATGGGAATAAATGCAGGCAAGCGTAATGGCCTGAAGCACGAGTGGTCTATTTTATTGATCCTTAATGCACAGCCTTCACTCTGAAGAACGTGTAAAGCAATAGGCTATAATGGCCTGCTCTGAGCCTCCAGAGAGAAGGGAAAAGTCGTTGTCAGGATTTATCTTTGGGAAGCAAAGAACTCATAACCAGCTCGGAGAGGGGGAAAGACAATAATACAAAGCCTATTGGTTATCGGATAATAAAAAAAAAGGTGCATTAGCAAATGTGCCAAATAACAGCCTGCTTCTTACTAACAATATTATTCACAGGGGATTATGTGAAGTTTGCCCTCATTAAGCTCAGGGAATGGCCTATTTTTGCATGTCTGAAGGCACGGTAGCTTTTCTGGAGCTCCCTGGCAATCTGAGCAAGGGGAATACAGCACACAGGGGGCTGAGTTCAGCTCACAGCCACCTATAGCTGCAATACAGAGCGAGAGCTGGAGGCTGCATATTTGAATTGTGCCATGTCTCAGCTTGTTTTCACATGTCATCTCTGTGGCCTCTCTATGCCGCAGCTGCCAGCTATGCCAGAGAGCTCTTGGGGTACATGATACCATTTGCTTTCCTGCTACAGTGCTTCCTTCAGCTTCCTGGAGAGTAACTAACACTCACTTTCCTGTTCTGTAGAGCGTGGCTTCAGTCCTCTTGTGCTGGCTCTGGCTTTTGAGTCCCCCCTTTCAGTCACTAGCATCATTTTATTTTCGACATAAGTCATAGCACTTCTCTTTTACATATTTTTTTAAAATAGGAGTAATGATATAAATCATCCTTCAAGCTTTTTTTTGGTTGAAGATATATTTTAGTTTTATATTGATGCCAAACTACAATAATAGGGGGCAAAACAAGGTAAGCATTCCCAAATTTCCAAAGAAAGATACAGGAGAGGCAAACATTCACAGAAATTGACATTAAAATATGAGGAAAATCTGTAATATGCCATGAGGTATGCAAATGTGAGTACGATACATAGTGGTTCATACCACAAAGATTAAGAGGCACAGAACGTAACTGAAAATAAAGATGAAGGAGTCCTCTCTATAGGCCTGATCCATCCCTACTCAGTAAATACCATACACTTTTTTTGATATGAGGTTATGGTTAAGTCGTTCTCACGAGAGACTTGAGCATGTCCTTAAGGTACTCTACTGAAAAGGAACAGTTTGGCAGGTCCTCAGAAAGCACTTGGTGAATGTGGAGCCAAAAGTTCATGTTTTAAGTCAAGGAAGGCCTAATTCTGCAGCTTCTGCTTAAGTGAATTGTGCTGGTGGGCTTTTTGGAGTTTGTCATATGAGAAAAAGTCCACAGAAATAGACCCATTAGAAAAGAATTCAGTAATTGTTTCATTTTGTTTTTATGACTGTCACGGTAACAGGTCAATTGCAGGTAACTGTTCTTTATGCATCAAATAAAGCTATTAAGTCAGACTCCATCTGCTTTTATTTCCCCCCCTCCCTTTCTTAAAATAGGCTTTTCTTTTCAGTGGGAAAAATTGTACTTTTATCATTGCCACCAGTAGAAAATAGTTCGAGCTTAACATGGTTCTTCTTTTTATTTCCTTTTGTGTAACAGGGGAGGCTGGAGAAAAGGGCGAAAAAGGTGCTCCAGGTCGTCCAGGCAGAGTTGGGCCTCCAGGAGAAAAAGGTAACTCTGTTAAACAAGATGATTTGAAAGTAATTCCTGACCAAATGGTGACTTTTTTTGTGAGGTGATGATGATGAGGATGGGAATCCTCTGTCCCTTTGGTGGAAGACAATGTTGTCCTTGGCCATTTCCGTGTACCTTATACACTCATTTGTAGACTAACTATTGCTTTCTGGTCAAAACGGTTAGTTCTGCAAAATCTTAAAGCTATTTCTTGTTTTTTTTAAAATGTTCTCTGTAAAGAAAGATATCATAATGCCTTCTGCAAATAGGACCCTCATATTTGATCATAGGGAATAAATCACAAGGTGCCATTTCCTTTTGTTTCATGTGAGCAAACACTCACAGTACCTTAATTAAAATCATGGAGGAATGACATTAGGCTGTAACAGGCAGACGTGGCCATGAGTGACTCCACATTTCTTGGACTATAATTCAGGAATAATTATGGAAAGGTGATGGTAAAGCCATTGCACTGCAGTTCAAAGAGAACTTGGAGCTCTTTAGAGGAACGGTGCACAATAGTATTCACTTGTCAGAGCTGAGAGAAACATGGCATTTGTGTCCTGCAGGAAATTCTGTCTTTTCATGTTCGCTTTCCTTCTGAAAGTTGATGTTCATAAGTTTTCCAGCAGATGCACAATCTGAAGAATTCACATTTGGAGTAGTCAAAACATTTTATTTCAATATAACATTTGACATTCCTTGCACCAGAATGTTTGACTTAGTTTTTACTAAACGGAATTTAAAAGCTTCATTTCAAAGCAGTCACGGTGGTAATTTACACTTCCTTATGATGATGCATGATCCATCACACTCTTGTTCTGGGCAGCTATGAGCATCTGACATCCACAGTTTTCCCTGGGATCAAGATCCATGGCTAGAGCTCATCCCTTACAAAGCAGTCAAAACCTTATCACTTCCATGACTCTGAACCTTATAACCTTCAGTCAGAGTAAGAGCAGTTTATTTTCCTTATGGAGATGTAGCTTTCAAGGGAGACTGTCATAAAAATATTGCAAAGTAAAATTTCAGCTCCCGCAAGGTAAGGCAAAATGATGAGAAGTTGTAATGCCATAGAATAATTTAGTCTAAAAGACCATACAGAGGTCATCTAGTTTAGCCTCCTGCTCAAAGCAGGGCTGACTTTAAATTTAGATCAAGGTTGCTCAGGGTCTTGGCCAGCAGACTTTTGAAAATCTCCAAGGACTGAGATTCTGCAACCTCTTTGGTTAGCCTGTTCACCACTCTCATTGTAAAGGACTTTTTCCTTATGGCCAGCTGAAATTTTGCTTGCTGTAGTTTGTGATCATTGCCTCTTCTCCTTTCATTATGCATCTCTGAGAAGAGAAGGCTGCATCTTCTCTAAAAGCCTGCCTTAGGTGATGGAAGGCTGCAATTAGATCCCTCCTTACCCTAGTCCAGGCTAAATAAAACCATTTTCTTCACCTGGACTCCAGTCTGTTTCTCTCTATTGTGTGAGGACCTCAAAATCTCTGGGTCCTTATCTGCAAAGTGGTTTTCCAGCCAGCCATTGGCCAGCCTTTATCAATGCATCCCAGGTGCAGGACTTTGCATTTGTCTTTACTGAACTTCAAGACGCTCCTGTCAGCACATTCCTCCAGCTTGCTGAGATCCCTCTGACCGGCAGCCCTGCCTTCCAGCCCCTCACCCACTCCTCGCAGCATGGTATTGCCTGCAAACTCAGGGAGGACACCTTCCACTCCTTCTTCCGTGTTGCTGGTGAACCAATGTTAAACAGCATTGGTCCATGAGATTTTGTCCCTGAGGAACGGCACTCATAATCAACTGCCAATTAGACTTTGAACTGTTGACCTTTGATCCCAATGGTCCAAACAATTTTTCATCCTACTTGTCATCCCTGCATAAATTTCCCAATTTGGCTATGAGGATGCTGTGGGAGAGCATGTCTAAGGCCTTGCTAAACTCACGGTAAACAACGTTCGTTGTTCTCCCGTCATGCACAGAGCCAGTCTTTTTGTCATAGAAAGCAATCAGGTTGGTCAGGCGTTTGGAAAATAGGTGTTGGCTGTTCCCTTGTCTTGTACTTCCTGTGTCTGGAACAGTTTTCAGGAGAACTAGCCCTATAATTTTCCTGAGGACTGAGGTGAGGCTGACTGGCTAGTAGGGCTTTCTTTGAAAGGGGGTATAACATTTGCCTTTTGCAGTTATCAGAGACCTCTGCTCACCACAGGCTTTCAAAAATGATGAAGAGCAACAGGATCAGCTGGCTCCCTCAGCACCCTTGGATGAATTCTGGCCAGTGCCATGGACTTGCATACATCCAGCTTAAGTAGTCCCTAACTCAGTCCTCCTCTACCATGGGTAGCACCTTCCCCCCTGTCTTTTCTACTGGGCATGAAGACCTGGGAGGCCTGAGAGCAGACCTTGACAGTAAAGACCAAGGCAAAGAAAGCATTAGGTACCTCAGCCTTTTCTATGTCCTTTGTCACGAGGTTGCCTTTTTCTCTGAGCAGAGTGCTCACGTTATCCTTGCTCTCCTTTTGCTGCTGATTTACCTGTAGTCTTTCATGTTGCCCTTTTGTAGCTAGCCAAGTTCAACTCCATCTGAACATTGGTCTTCTTCATTTCATCCCTGACTGAGAAGTTCTTTCTGGGCTGCTTTGCATAGCAGCCTGTAATAGGTTTCTAACTACCACTTTTACTGAACAAGCCAAAGTTCACTCTCCAGAGGTCCGGGGCTTTTATTCTCCTCCTTGACTTCCTCAGTTCCCTCAGGAACTTCAACTCTGTCATCTCATGGTCACTGCAGCCAAGGCTGCTGTTGACTATCACATTCATAACCAGGGGAATGTGATTCCCCCCAAACACTCCTTATCTGTGAATAGCAGATCCAGCAGACCACCACTCATTTTGGGCCATCCTGTACCTGCACGCAAGTAAGTATCCCTAACTCATTAGCAGTGCTTGATTGGCTGCAATAATTATGATAATTTTCTGGTTTTCCATTTCTCCACAAGGTCAAAACTCTGGCGGGCTTGGATGAAGAAGTTTTGAAGTGAAAATTTGCTTCGGTAAAACATACTTAGAACAGAAAAGAAAGAAAAGAAAATTGAATTTTAATGCATACCATATTGGTGTTTTACCAGGCAATGCTTTCAAGCTAAGTACAGGCAAAATCTCTTACAGTTTCTGTAGCAACATGTTTTTTCTGCTTTCCTTTGTACAACCAGATTTGACTTGACATGTGTATGTTCTTAGAATATTTAGCAAACAGCTTTGGTTTAGCAAAGTAAGAAAAGTCTACAAGCAAGCTCCTATTTAAAAATGAATTCTAATTGAGTCATCCTTTTATTAATGTTGTATGTTTTTAAATATTTGCCTTCATCAACTGCTCTCCACAAATGCTTATTTACAGAAAAATAAATTGTTATTTTAAAAATAATTTGGACTATATTGTGCAAGTTTTCATCATGACAATGCATTTCATACATTTTCTGAGAGTCAGTGTTGATTGGATAAGCAAACAGACTTCACAGATGTGACTTCTGCCCTGTGGAAAGGACACAGAAAGCCATCCAGTCTTGATTCAGAAAAATATTTAAGTCTGTGGTTAACCTCTGTAGGCAGTAGAAAGTCCCCAGACCTGAAATTAAGGTCATGCCTAAATACTTCTATTGACCCTCAGACTCAATAAGAGTGAGAGTCACTCTTGTGTGTATATTCTCTTCCAGTGGTCCAAGGGTTTTCCTATTTGTTATCCAGAAGCTGGAACTTTGAGACAAAAATAAAATATCACACAATTCTTAGGAAAAGTAATGACAGCAGGTAATACTGAAATATCCAATGCACTGACATCTTTTTCATAGTGGATCATTCAGCCTGTTTGTGGAAGGTTAGGAATTGACCATCGTTTGGAGGTTGTTGATTGGTCCACCTTGGTGCTCTCAGAACTAACCACTCCACAATCTCTGTTACTGGTTTACTCTTTTGCTCACTAGTTTTACTTTTTTCATCTCTTGATGGGACTACACCACCGATGTCCTTTAAAATCCTGACAGAGTTCTTTAAAATCTAAATTGTTATAAGGCTTAGATCCATGATCCAGATACTTAACACGTAGCTCAGTGAATAATGAAAGACAGATAGAATTGCTGCCTCGCCTTGCATTTGCCCCATTCGCAGCGCACACATGGATGCTCACCGCAGCTCAGCTTTTGTGCAGCAGGCTATTGAACTGCAATCACTGTGCTAACATGTGTTTGTGCCCTTGTAGTTTTTAAGCATATTTTTACTGAAGTCTGGTACTTACTTACTGGCTTGTTGGGAAGGGGCTAATATTTGGTTCTTTCCACTGGTAAAAACTGCCAGCGTTGGCAGTTGTATTTTGTTGCTATTTGAGTAAATTATAGGTTACATGAAGGAGAAACTCTAGTTCTTCTACAACATTTGCAGTTTTCTACTTCTGGTGTCACTTTATGTTATGAGAATCACAACAATCATTTCTTTTTCTTTCTCTTTTCTTCTGTTTCACTTCTTTGGCAAGTTCATTCTAAGACAGTGTGCTTAGTATCTTTGAACTCCTTAGGAATGTCTTAATCAGTGAATAAATAGCATACATAAGAGATTGTTTTATCCTGGTACATTTGACCTGAAAGAAACATCTCAAGATGGGAAAGCGGTGCAAATGTTTTTAGCTTATCTCTTCCTCATGATATTTTCAGATTTTGATAGTTCAGAAACTGATAAACATTCAGACTTTTGTACTTACCTGAAATAAATCTAGTTCTGAACATCCTGATGTTTCAGGGTGGCATGAGACATCCTGCTGTCTTTGGGCGCTGATTAAGGTTAAATTCCACTTACTTTCCTCATTGCTTTTAATTAATTGTATAGGTCAATTATGTTGCATTAGCATGTCAGCAGAATATAAAACTCTCTGTTAGCTTTATGTAAAGCACAGAGTACTGGATCGATTGAAATGGTTGTTCTGGATGAACGAAGCATGTACTGCAGTT